GATTTCCTTTCCCTAAAAGGTCCCAAACATATTAGACATTTTACTTTTTTAATTACTTAAGATTTACGTAACCAAAGGAAGAATTGATTTTTAAATTATAATAAGAGCTCATAATTCATAAAGGAGAATGTATTTTTCAACATTTCAACATTTGGCCACAATACTCAGACTTACCTTTAAAAGCACAACTTCAAAATAAGACGAACACATAATATATGAATCTCGATGTTTGGTTCTAACTGCACAGCCCAAAAGCCATATTGAAAAAAAGCAAGTGGTAATATTTTTATGAAATGTATTTTTCTTTTGTATTATCTGCAAATGTGTGAAGTTGTTACTAAAAGCTGAAGATGTTTTTTTTCTATACAGCCTTTTGCAAAACAGTGTCCATATTTTAAGAGTTACTTTTATTTCTTCCACGATGTGAATAGCATTACAGTATTTTGTTAAAGTATTTTATCCATTCACTCATTCATTGTTTGTTTATTTTTGAGTGAGCTACTTTCTTTTACAAACTTGCAGTTTACTAGTGTTTACTTCAAGTTGATTTACGGCTGTTCAATTCCTGTATACCACACAGTGCAAGTTGTCAAAATCTGCACATCTATTCTTATTTAGCGCCTGGTTTGAAGAATAACCTGGTCTACTTTACTGAACTCTTTATCTGTTTCTGTGCTCAACAGCTTCCTTACTCATCAATTAAGTTGCATAATACCATTCTCCATTGTGGTTAGCAGTATTTACTCTGCTCATCATACGTTGCAATAAAGTTTATTTTTGCATAATTAAAACTCTGAAATTGTGGATTTTTTAACATAAAGGAAAGTGTTAAATGTTCGACAAGACCAATGTATGTACAATTTGGCTAGCATTGTCTTATTTTACAGATGAAATATTAGGGGGAAATCATGGTCCATAGTTTAATACATAAATGAAATCCAAAAATCTTATTTTCATTTTTACTTTGTTGATTTTTAGAGTTATTCATTTTTTGCCCCGAAAATAGGTTTAAGACAATAGAAAATAATTGGCAATGAAGATGTAGAGCAGGGGTGTCCAGACTAAGGCCCGGGGGCAAAATGCGGCCCGCGGACCATTTTGAATCGGCCCTCAGCTAATTCTAAAAGTATAATGTAATACGGCCCACAAATGAAACTTGTGCTTGTCTTATATTGTACTTCTTAAATATATATGTAAAAATATATTACACAGTAGTATTCATGTGTTAATAAGCCCACTTTCAAATAAATAGTCAATTAAAGTTGGAAACATTTTCTAACATATCTTAGTTGATCAAAAAAAAGGCCCAATAACTTATTTACCCTTCATATTTCCCCTTTTTATAAGCAAACTGAGGGATGAGCTGCCAACAAAATAAATGAAGCCCTATGTAGAGCTGTGATATAGGCTGTTTTTTTCTTAAAGGGGACCTATCATGCAAAATGCACTTTTGTACGTCTTTTATACATGAATATGTGTCCCCGGTGTTCCAGGGAACTCACCAAGTGTCAGAAAACACAACCCTCTCTATTTTCCTCCATACCCAAATCTCTAAAAAATGGGCTGCAACGGATCTGATAAAAACTGATCCAGATTTGATTGATTGATTGATTGAAAAGTTTATTAACAGCTTGTATATTGGGTACAGTACAGTACAGCTCAAAACATACAATTGTTAAGGGGATGCAGACCAAGACTTTCGTCTTGTTTACATCAGGGTCCCCCATTTCCAATTCATCATATTGAACACTGTCCTGACGTCAGGACAGTGGCGCTACGGCTATTGGGCCAACTCCACCAATCAGGAGGAGACGGCCACGGCCATTGCCGTTCGAAAGCGCTGGAGACGCTGTAGTACATATGCCAGGCCTGTAGATGGTGCTGTTCTCACATAATCTGCCCTTGCAAAAACAGAGCTAAAAAATGTCAAATTGAGCAAAATGAGGAATGGCTAAAATGCATGATCTGTTTGGTATTTTGAAAAAAAAAAGTATAAATATGCCTTATATACTGTAGGTATGGTCCTATACTATATTATTCAAATATAGCATGATAGGTCCACGTTAAGGCATTTTCAAGTATCAAGCATCATTTACCTACATTTGATACATTTTGCTGACTTAAAACTTAACTTATGAGGCAATATACCTCCAGCGAGTGGCCCAGCCCTTTGTATATCTGTCTGCAGGGCCGAATTCACCATATACATTGGGGGGGACACATCCCCCTATATTCTTTTCATATGTAAATTGGTTCTGCCTTGTTTGTTTATGCATACCTTTATTTTGTACCCGGGGGTGTATTTCGCTGTCGCACGTCTGAGTCCAGCTTCAGTTAGCTTGATGCTCCAAGCAGGTCAGTCATGTTTTAATTTGCCCTCCATCAGTTCTGGTATCTTTTCTAGTTAGCCCTAAAGTAATCTATATTATTTTATTTCGTAATGTTAATGAACCCTCCGGTTTAGCTTCTTTGTGTAAGTAACTTGTAGTTCTGATGTTAAAACTGAACTTTTCAGGAATAGTAGCTAACTAGCTGTGGGCTAGCTGGTTTCAGTTGCTAGCCAGGGTTTGGCGGGCTAGTGTCAGCTATGTGGAAAATGACGGTGTCGTTTTGGATGTAATCCAATACATATTTATTCATGTGGATTATTTCTATTTTATTTTGTCATTTGTAGAGTGTGGAAAGATTTAAAACTGTGATGTGTGATATCTATGGAATACCAAAGGTGCCAGAATTAATTAAATAAATACTCTACAATTATTATGAAATAGTATTTCAACAAAACAAAAGGGCAATAAAGTGTTCCTGTTTCTACTGAAATTGCGTGGCACAGACCTTTCTATGGATTGAAATGCTTTAATATGATTATGGTTATAGTTGTACTTTATTCATCCCTAATCTCTGCCATTACAAACAACGAAACAAGAAAAGCTAAACTAGATAAAATAGGGCGATGTAATACAATGCACAATTAGACATTATGGTAAAACATGTTAACCAGTTAAGCCCCAAGCCTGTTTTTCAGGTCTCAGGCTCGAAAATGACATTCCCAGAACAATTGACTATATCTTCACTTCTAAAATGGGTAAATGAATAATCTTTTTTCTCAAAACAATGATAAACCTGTGAGTTGGATGTAGAAAAAGTCAGAATCAATATAGATGTTTTTAAAGTAAATTCAGATTGAACATAGTAAAAAAGTGTAAATTATAGTGTCCGTCCAAAAAATAAACCATTACTTATAGTGAAAACCACCCTTGAATGATGGGATAGTAGACTAAAAGCTTTAGGAATCCAAACTATAACATATAAGTACCGTCTATCAAGATTGATGCAAAACAAGTATTTCCAAGGTACACCTTTATATGATCATTATAGTAATACAAAATAAGAGAATAACAGGTATGAAATAATTCCAACTCATACTACAGTTTAAAAGGAGAGTGATTTGTAAAATATGCATAAAGAAAAAGTAAATCTGTTCAGATCTGTTTCATATGGTTTTGAGAGATGTATCCATAGATTTAGTCCCTAATTTTGCTCTCAAAGTGCACCAGATTGATGCATTTAACTTCAACATTTTAAAAAAAAACTTCCCGGGGGAGCATGCCCCCGGACCCCCCTAGAGGAGGTTAGGTCCACCGCCTGCCCACACCCCCCGTCAAATTGTCCCACCCACATTGAGGATGCTTCCTACGCCCATGCCTGAGACAGTTTCGTGAATATTGTTGTTTTTTGCCCCCACAGGCAGGGGCATGGGGTTTAACAGGTTTTAAAGTATCCCATGTGTTAGTGAATTTTTATATATTTTCCTTTAGAATGGCAGGAAATTTGTATTCAAATTTTGATTGAATTTTTGGTCCACCCCAATGTTGACTCCATGAATACGGCCTTGGCCCTCGGTGAAAGAGGTTTGGACAGAGGCTAAGGAGGGAAGATGAAAAGACAGAAGAAAGGAACGTAGGCAAGGGCTATCAAGAGAAGAAGGAGAATTGAAATAGAACGGATGGATTGAGAAGACAGGAGAGCGGAGAGGAGTAACTTTCTTTCCTTTGTCGTTCTATCCCCATGTTTCTTCCTACCAACAATCCTCACATCTTTACTATCCAACTCTCTACTACTCCCTCCAAAAAGACAAACTATTACACTCCACTGACAGACGTACCCCAACCCCCTCTTCCAGAGCGACAGTGTCTGAGTGATTCACAGTGCAGCCTTACATAAAGGTGTGTCTGCCATAACATTGCTAACAGCTCAGGGCCACAGCTGGCAGTGAATGCAATTAATTATTGGAGAAAAATCAATAAGCCTTTCCTGCAACATGGTGGCAGATTGATCCGCACCATAGACAAAGCAGATTTTTCTTTGAGCGTCCACTCCGGGTGATCAGGATTGCTCCCATACTAAAAGGCAATTCAACATATGTTCTGCCCATCTGTTATTAAAAGTACAAAAGAGTCACATCTTTATTCTAACAAAAATGCTACATGTTTACCTTCATTATATATTCTGGAGTCTGAAGGCTTAACAGCCGATATCTTTCATTAGGGACTTTGACCTCCTTTAAAGCCAGTGAGGGGATATGATTTAAGAATCTTGCATCAAGGTTTCAAAATGGAACAGATGCAGTCCAAGTTTGTATCTTCTCAATGCATTTGTGTTAAGTGTTGTCTTTCTAGACCAAGTGATAAGATGAAGTATATTGCTTTGTTGTACCCTGAATTAAAGGTTCAATAATGCATTCAGTTCTGTTGAATTGTGGAGAGTTCACCCTTTGCAGTACTTTTATTTGAAGTGTTACAAGGGCTATGGTTTACTCTAATGCTAAAACATACAGAAATCAGCTAAATATACTTTCACCAAACTGCACAAGAGGCTAACCCATATAACAGTAAAACAACATTTAATAATGTAGTTGGTCAATGTATACTTAACAGAAGTTTAAAGCATACAACTGCATGTGAACAGACAGAAAATAAGTCAAGATCCAGAACTACAGATTCGTTTTTCCTAGAAAAAGTGTTTATTTTAACAAGGCATTACGTACAGAGCTGTGCCATAAGGATAACATTTTTACAGTGTAAACCAAAACACTTTATGGTACAGGCCACATATAATCAGGAAGGTAGCAAAATCAATAAGGCTTAACTTGTCACAGTAGGAAAAGCACAGGGGTTTCAGTCACATGGTGTCATATTGAGTTATAATGTCAAAGGAAAAGACCCCACAGGGGTTTGGGTAGTACCTAAATCCTTTCTCTAGCATCAGACAGCCGACAGCGTACCTGGTGGAGCTGCAGGGCTTTGTGTTAGTCCACCAGTTGCAACAAAGTCATCCGTGCTGCGACTTATCCAAAAACACCAACAATGGCTCTGGTCAAGTGTGTCAGTAAGCCAATGCACCCTACTGGGGACCTGCAGCACTAATGGAAAGCAGCCTTTGTTATTACTCACACCTGCGCTTCTCCTACTGTGACCTGCCAAAAAGGTCTGCTGTGTAAAAGGCCTACAATGGCTTCTTTTTTAACACAAACTTCTCAATCAAAACCAATAAAACAAGCCCCCGTCTGTTAAAGGCCGAAAAATATAAAAATTGCAGGCATTTAAAACTATTTCAGTTTCGAGTAAATAAATTACTTTGTAAAGCCAATTCAGTCAATGGATGGCCACTTGTTGCTGCCAAAGAAAACTTTAGCCTAAATCTGCAAACATGTATAAGCAGGTCAAAGTCCCATGACAGAGAAGAGCTGTGTCAGTTAATCCTGCTCTGACGAAGGTCCAGCTTCTTCATGGTCCGAGGTCTCTTCATGGTCTGAGGTCTCTTCATCATGGTCTGAGGTCTCATCTTCATCTTCTTCATGGTCTGAGGGCTCTTCTTCATGGTCTGAGGGCTCTTCTTCCACCGAGTCACTATGACTGATATCAGAGTCGGCATCATCCTCCTCATCATCTTCCACATCAAGAGCAATATCCTGCAGTTCCTCCATATTGTCTGGACTCTTCCCAGTCAGCCTCTAAAAAAGACAAGATGCAATATGTCAAGTTAACAAAATACATTTTACTGAACCTCATCTCACTACAGCATGAAGACTCATTAATGTGGGCACCAGAGCAAGAAGTCCAGTGTGAATAGGGCTTTAAATATACTGGATATTGTGATGCTTCCATTTGATTTAAGTATAAGGAAATTGAGGGTAAAACATTTTTTAAAAGAACTTGTTTATGTACCAGTACGGTCAGAGAATCTCACCAAACATTACAGACTTCTAATACGAGTATGCTTACCTCAATCATATCTGCCATGTACTGTACGTGCTGTGCCAGCACCTGCAGCTCTTCATTTTCACACTTTAGCTGTGTTATCTGTTCCTCTTTGGCCTCAATGTATTTGTGCATCTAAAGAAAATTTAAATAAAACCATTGAGCTTGACATCATGCTTGAAATTGTTTTATTGTATGAGATACTGAGGCAACAATCCTGCAAAAACTCTTTACATGCAACTTTAACTGGTTTATTTGCATTATGGTGAAAAACAACGTCAAAATCCACTGCCTGATGGACTGCAGCCAGCTCAGTTTGACTCAAGTCAGTGGGAGCGTGGGAACAAGTAAATTTCCAGCTAAACATTAGCCATCTCTCGCCGATTAACTCACCTTCTTATTCTCCTGTAGAACAACGTACAAGGCCTTCCGACGCTCCTCAGCTGTCTCTTTCCAGTAGTTGGAAGGAGGAGTTTCTGCAATGAGAGAGAAGTAAGATCAGGATATAATGAGAATCATCTGTGGTAGATGCCACAATTTGATTAAATCAAGTGCATTGATTAAAAATACATACCGACGACCATAAGATCATATGCTTCACTGGTCATGCCATCTGTCGAACACTGAGTTTCTTCTGTTTGTGTAGATTTGACCTCTACCTTCACCCTCTTTGGACCTCTAGTTTGTTCTGAGCTCCACAGTTTCCGTTTGGGAATAATATTTCCAACCTAAGAGAAAATAAGGTTTTCTTTATACGATTAAATGTTACAGGGAACAATTCAATAACAATTCCAAAAAGGAAACTACATTAATGAATTCCTGCAATAAGCCACTGCATACCTGAGCAGCTGACCTTCCCAAATCTTTGTTGCCAGCTAAGGGTTGGAGGACCTGCAGTCTTTGCCTGGGAGGACCCATTGCCATCTGAGATGGTTTGAAAAAGCTCTGGATGACAAAAAACAGGTGTTACCTTACAGCTGAATAGATCAGAATGGTTAACAACGGGCAAGATCGTAAACACTTCAGATGTGTTTAGGGAAACTCAATCGAGTCACACGGGAAAACAACATGACCCGTGTTCTCATTTTCAAAGCCTCCATTCACCATGGCTTAGCATAGCTTTACTTTAGTTTCACTGTCACCATGGGAGAGGGCATAACTGAGGTGGCCTACAACACTAACAACGGCTGCTGCCATGTGCAACACAGGTGTTGAAACAGGGGCAGGGCAAAAGCCATGGGAAAGTTCATCCTCAAGACTCATTAGAGAGCAGCCAACATGCTCACTCAGTTAATGTTTGGCCACAGCCTCAAAACACTGATGGGAGTCTCATGACAGTAGTTTCTGCTATGAGGGAGACAGTCTGAAACTACTCTGGGAGGTACAGACAAAAACTAATGGGCTAAGTTGCAGAAGCAAAGGAAACCAAGCCTTTGAAACCTCACATTTTATTGAATTAAAAAAAAAAAAATTATATTGTAAGAGTCTGAGGGCAATAGCTCCATTTACTCAGGGGGGTGGGGGGGGGGTAAAAGGATCCCCTTTTTCTGATAAATTTGATCTCGAGGAGAACATTTCTGGTCACACAGATACTGCAATCTACCAGCTGAAAATTAGACATTCACACGTTTGAAGAGTTACCCCATTTGTACCCTACGCTTTACATTTCATAGATTTTTTAAGTAAAATGAAAACAGAACAAATGATTTGCTCACATGTACATTCTCATCAGACTGTTGTTGGCTGGGGGTCATCTTTCCAGTGAAATTCATTTTCTTACAAGAGATCTGATGGGAAAACATGAACACGTCACTACACATGAAAACGTACAGGAGGTTACCCACATTAGAGTAACCTCCTAGCAAAACTGCCCAAAACGGCTAATTACAAAACTAGAATTAACGTTTATAGCTTAGTTAAGTTATACTTTAAACGCGGTATTTGTTCTTAGACTTTGTACATGTAATGTGACCTCGTTAGCTTGTTTAAAGACACGTTTAAAAAAAAAATGTCGCCAGCTCTAATGGAAAAGTAGTTACAAAAAGGTCACCAAAGACGTTAAAAAACAAGATGATTTAAGAGAGCAACGCTAAGGAAACTAACGCGTTGCTGTTGCTGACAGAAACACTTAATACACGGTTGTTAAAAATATTACATTTAGGCACTATTGTAGTAGATAAATCGCCTTACCGTTGATAGGAAACACTATGTCGTAGGTGGGGACTGCCTTTCTCTTCGCTGAGACTCCCGCGCCAGGGGCTTAAATAAGCCTACTCAGTCACGTGGTACAGCGTCACCCACGAGGAAGATGTGTTCATGCTGTTGTTTTTGACATTTTTTATTCAAAATCATATCCATGTATATCAAACATTATGTAGACACAAAACATTGACATCAGGGGTGATCAGGAACATTTAGATAAAAGAAACAATATAAAGAATGAACTCGAAAGAAAATTGTGTCCAAACAAAAGATACAATTTCAAGTAATTTATTTATCAAAATGCACCCAGTAAATCTGAAGCAAAAACAAATAGTAAAAAGGCAACACAATTGGCACACAGGGAACACAGGACGAAACCTTTATGCTTTGCAGCCAAAAATCAACAGTCAATACAGTTAAAAGGAGCACCAAGGAGGAACATTTATTAACAAGGTTTAGACTCTAGGAAACGAACAAAACACTACATTTAGTAAGTAAACATCCATCAGGATTATGTGAACACTGCCAGGTGGATGAATTAGTAGAACGTGTCATTCTGTATTGTGGCAAATACAGTCAAGAAAGAGAAAGACAGAAATCAGGAAGCTTTAGTGGAACAACCGGATCTCAAAGAAACATTAGTCTCTGTCATCATCATTTAAGACAAACAGAGTGAATACAAATAATGTAATTTTAATTGTATTATTTATTTTGTTTTTTTGAGGGGGGGTAGATCATTCTGGTTCACACTCCAATACAGTAGGTGGCGGTAATGCACCTTTAACGCTGGTTGCCACCCGCCATACAAGCAGACGAAGAAGAAGTAGTAATAAAAATAAAAATAAATATATATATAAAGAAATAAAGAGATGTAAAAACCAAAGGTAACATTTCAAGTAAAATATTTATCAAATACACATTAGGTTTTCATTTCCTCCTTATTTTCAATATGTTTTTAAAGTGGTGCCATATTGTGGTAATTCTAATTTTAAATGTGCAACATTTGATTTAGAATCAGTCCATTTATTCTTGTGAATGTGAAATGTTCCCGAAATAAAAGCAGAAGTAGTGGTGGTGTTGTTTTTCCCCTGGTGTGGTCACATGTCAACACACGTCACATCTTTTGTAGTTGTCTGCGCAGCCATTTTGGGGGAGGCTGTGGATCGACGAGCTGCTTGTGCCATTATCAGCTGCCCAGAAAAAAAAAACACACAAAGAAACCAAACGCAGAAACGTTGGACGACACGCCGTTAACGATGGGCCCGCCGGGAGACAGAACAGGCCACATGTCGACTGAAAGAACGGAGGACTTCAGCTGGATTGTCGATTTATCTTGACATGGCATGCAGCAGGGCGAGTCGCAGGTTGTGACGACTGAAGAAAAGAAGAGAAAGAAAACGGCAAACACCTCGAAACTTCAGACGTGAAAACTTGGGGGAGATTTTGTTTAAGCTAACGTGTATTTCTCCACGCAGCGTTAGCCGTTGATTCTCCCGTTTTATTTTGGTCGATTAAGTTGTTGACAAGACACGACGACTAGCTAAATAAAATGCTGAGCTCAAGCAAAACCAGTTAGTCAGTTAACCCCGCAGGTCGCTTGACTTTCACAACACTGGCAGTCGCATTGAAGCTGGAGAGAAAATGTAAACGCATAGAAAGATGACTGTACGCTAAGCTAGCCAAACCACACATAGGCCTCGATTAAGCCAATCAGTCAGAAGATAAGATGTAGCTTCATCGACGGGTCACTACTAGTTAGTGTTGGAAGTGAATGCCTAGATTAGCTTGCTAGCTCACCTTAGCTAGTGTGCTAAAAATACGCCCACATCATGACTCTCAGCAGTGGCAGCACCGCAGGCCGTGAGCTAAATGAGTGGCAGTAAAAAGTCAAGGAAATGTCAAGGCAGTAGTCTTCGATGTTACCCGGTGCCAATATCTCCTGGCATCTCTATTTACCTGCCATGTTAGTCTGTATCTTAAATCCGCCTGTAACACGCACATAACTCGACAGATAAATACACACAAAAAACGATAGCCATGGATGAGGGACTTTGAAATGACCCAAATAGTAAAATATGTGTCAGCTTGCTAGTCTCTGTAGTCCTCAATTTCACTAGCAAAAAAAAATATTGTCAGTATGGGTTTTTACGGTAGCAGCCGTTTCTGTTGATTTCAGTAACCTACTCAGAAAAGTTGCTCTTTCATCTCGTTGGAATCCCTTGTCGATGGCAGGTTGAAAAATAGCTCATTTGGCTTTAAAAGTCATGTCTTAAAACATGGATTTCTGAACCAGTAATATGGAGATGTAGTCTTAGCTTGTTGACCATTCCCCTCCTCAACACTGCCCTTTTACAAAAATTAAAATGACTTAGTTTTGTTTCTGATTTGTCGACCTTCTCAGTTGGTAGTTAGTGGGTATTTTACAGATCTAGCCTAGAGTTGTTTGATGCGTTGTTTCTGCAAAGGGTAGCTAGCGCCATCCTTTATCCAGCGTATGAATACAAAAGTAGAGAGTGAAGCCAAAGTTTTCTGCAAAAGAGAAGGAACTACCATCAAAATCTAACCATGGGGGACCCAACTTCACGGAGAAATCATACAAGAAATCGACTAAGAGCTCAACTTCGGAAGAAAAGGGAATCTTTGGCTGATCAGTTTGACTTCAAGATTTATATAGCCTTCGTTTTCAAAGACAAGGTTTGTCAGTAAAATTGAGGAATAGTGTTATTCTTAACTCCATCTTAAATCACACTCTTCTTTTATGACTTATTTTCTCATTACACATTTAAATGTTACATCCAGTGTGTTTTTATCTACGTTTCTCATCACAGAAGAAGAAGTCTGCACTTTTTGAGGTAGCTGAAGTGGTGCCGGTGATGACCAACAACTATGAAGAAAACATCCTACGAGGTGTGCGAGATTCCAGCTACTCTCTCGAGAGTTCGATAGAACTCCTGCAAAAAGATGTTGTGCAACTGCACGCCCCCCGATACCAGTCAATGCGAAGGGTAAGTCAGTCCACCATCTGAGGAGGGTTTATCTTGAGTAAGAGAAAGACCTTTTGTGTTTAAATTGTTCTCTTCTCACAGGATGTCATAGGCTGCACACAGGAGATGGACTTCATCCTTTGGCCACGCAACGACATTGAGAAGATTGTGTGTCTGCTGTTCTCCAGATGGAAGGGGGCCGATGATGAACCCTTTCGGCCTGTTCAGGTCAGATCATCTCACATTACGTGGGCAGCACATTTTTGGAGCCTGGTCTTGCTTCTAATTATGGCTGCAACTTTTTATTTATGGAATTATTACATTACTTTATCAATTAGTATGCTGATTACTTTCTAAATGTATCAGTTGATTATTTAGTCAAATACATTTCAAATGACCATGAAATAATTCATCACATTTTCCCAAGATCTTTTGAAAGAAGAAACTTTCTAAAGCTAGGGGGGGATTTTTTTCAAGCAACAATTAAAAAGAATTGCCCACTGTCAAAATACAGATTTTAAGTTATAAAAGTTATAACATTTAGCTATTTTTTGGATTACATTTAAAATGTAGTTGTAATCACTTCATTTTCACAATGTACATATTTCACAAATAGATACCTTTAATAATTAATTAAGTTAATTGCCCTAGTCTGGATGTAACAGAATGTACGTCTTGGCTCACAAGTCTCTCCTACAATTTACAGGCCAAGTTTGAATTTCATCATGGAGACTACGAGAAGCAGTGCCTGCATGCTTTGGGTCGTAAAGACAAGGCTGGAATGGTCATGAACAACCCAACTCAGTCTGTATTTCTCTTCATGGATAGACAGCACTTACAGGTGAGTCAGTCCTCTGAAATGATAATGTTACTGATCTGACAAACCTAAACCTCAGACAGTGTCCTAACACACACACCACAAATGTTCTCTGTCCACCTCTCCTGCAGACTCCTAAAACCAAGGCCACAGTGTTCAAGCTGTGCAGCCTCTGCCTATACTTGCCCCAGGACCAGCTGACCTGCTGGGGTGTGGGAGACATCGAGGATCACCTCCGCCCATACATGCCTGACTAAGGCTTCCTGCTTCACCCAGCCTCATAGGGAAAAGCCCTTCATTTCTCTCCTGCCTAAACCTTCAGAAGCAAATAGATGTACTCATCTCCACCCGTTTCTTTTAAAAGATTTGAACTTGTGCTTGGATCTCTCCTTTTTTTGTTACCTACTTGTTCTCCCCTCCCTGACCAGAAGCTGGTTCGATTCCCACCCTTGTTTTTCCTCACACCCCAAATGTTCCTCCTCTTCTCTCTGCCATTTTTTTGGATTGGTTTCTCCATTTTTTTTTTCTTTACTCCCTTTTCATTCCCTCCTACTCACTCATCCATTTTTGTTCATTTGAACCTGCACGAACATTGATTTTGAGTGGTTGGTTGTTCTCTTGGAGCCGCTCTGTCAACAGCACCGGTCATTGAAGGAACTCTTTATGTTGCATCAAAACAGGAACAAACAATACACAGGTCTTCACGGTGGTTCTCAGATGGACGTGTTTGATATCCTTGTTGTCATAAGAAAGGATTGTTAAAGCTTGTTTGTAATGTCAATGGGGTTTCTAGAACAACTTGACACAATCTTTTGACCAAGGACAGGTGTGAAAAGGTGTTAAAACACCCGTATAAGCAAAGATGAACAATATTTGTCAAATCATATGGTGTAGGTATTGCTTCTTAAAAACCGCCTTAGTTTTTTTGCTGGACTTTTAAAAATTGTTTTGGTGTCATTTGCTTTCCTCTGAAACATGCTAGGCAGGCCTTTGTTAAAATCTTGAGTGACCTGAAAGGCATTGTACACAAGTTGAGACATGTTGGTTAAATGTTGAAGGTCATTGTCAAGCCGTTCATGCACCATTCATTTAAGCTACTGAAATCTGATGTTATGTTTTGTTTTATTTGGGATGTGGGTTGGTGACGAACTGAAATTGTGACATAGTTAATGTTTAACTTGCCTAACAAAAGTTGCTGGAAGCTAACAGATTTTTTTGTTTAATTTGACCTACTAAAATGAATATAATTTGCTACAATGCTCATTAAATTAAAATTTGATTTTGCAGGCTTGCTTGTTAAAGAATATGAGGTTCATAGTACATATAATTTTGCTCCTTGTTGATTCAGTGTGTTCAGTTGAAAGGGTATAAGGCGTGTAACTTCTGGGTTTTTTCTGTTGATTCTCAAATCAATACTGCTGAGCATATCCCAATACAATGCAAATTCTGAAAGCATAACTCTTGTCTATTTCTTTTATTGCATGTGCATGAAACATTGATACAGTGTTTCCATTAGGAGTGAATCTGACCATACAGTACTGTTGACGAAATATGTGTTACAACATGAATTAAGTTAACAGCTGAGAAGGATTTGTCAACAACATTGTTTTCACAGTCAGAGGTTAGTTAACATCTTGTTAACTTGTTTTAACCATACAGTTCCATGATACGTGATTTACAGACAGGCACATAGGAGCGAGTTCAGCTGCCGCCGAGGTGTTTAGTGTGTCGGCCTTGTGCTATGACCTTCCCGGAGGCTTTGCTGGTGAGGTCTACTGTGGCGAATGCCAGGGTCCGTCCTTGCTTTAGAACCTGAGCAGTGATGAGTACCTCCTCTCCTATCTTGGCAGCATTCATGTATCTGTAAGACATTGACATTTGTTCCCAGTCATTTTTAGTTTACGAGGTTAATCTTTAACCTATGACCTGGTTAACACACTGAAGGTCGAGGTCTGACATTACAGCTGAAGGCACTGCTGAATACACAGAGATCACGCTCTCTATATTTTTCTGGGGCATTCAGGGTTTTTAAGGCACAAAACTTAAACCTATTATTATGCCTGATATTATTAAACCTTAGTGAGTAACCTGAAATTAAAGAGTTATTTGGAGGAAATAAAAATAAGACTGCATAGAGTTTAAACGTTGTGACCATATAGGTCCATATAAGTCAAACGTTTAAGAATAGCACATTTAAGTGTTTAACAGCCACACATGTCAAATAAATTCAAAGGAAAAACTGAAGATACAAAGCAAAAAACAAACACATCAGTAAAACAATTGCAGGACGTGATATCAAAGTGTCAATCTCAACTCAATAAAATGCCAACAAGAGAGGTCTGCAATGCATCGAGAGTTCATTGCACATATTTTATAAAACAAGCATGATATGAAGTAAAAACTCTACAATCAATGTTTATCTAAGTGATACTTTTCATTCACAGGTAAATCTACAGGTGATAAACCTTAAGAAGTACACTGGACTCACGTTATGTTCATATCCACACTGACTCCTGGTGATCCCCTCTCACTGTACATGATGGCCATGGTGGAGATAACATCCACCAGGGTAGCTGTCAGTCCGCCGTGCAGCGTCCCTCCTCGGTTGGTGTGCTCTTCCTCTACCCGCAAACCACACACCACCTTACCTGGGCTTGCAGACAAAACATCCACCTGATGGAAACACAAATATAAAAGTTTCCTGTCAAGATGCAACAATGTTGATGATCACGATAGGTTGTATTTAAAAGAAAATATCGAGGTGTACAGTCACAGAACTCTTAAAACATTCAGAAATGTAGCATAATATGCACGTTCACCTTGCTCAGGACTCTGTCAAATCCTGGATTGTCTACCATTGCTCTCATGATTTGTTTTAAGGTATTTAAAGACAGAGAAGCCATATTTAACGCGAGTATGAGACCAATGTCAAAGATGTGTTTTTACTTCAAACCGGAAGCTGTTGCGTCCGATAGATCGTCCGGGCGGAATTAAAGTTAATCTGTCAGAGAACGTTTGCTTTAACAAGTAAATGGCACAACATGGCGTTGTGTTAATTCCACGCCGAGGATAAACTGTACTTTTGTATCTTACTTTTATAATACAAAGAAGAGTTGTATTCTGGGATTTGTTGTAAACTAATTAGCACATTCACATTCCGGAAGACTTTAACAGGTGCACCTGAGATAACTTGCAGAGGAAAACATTCATTTATGTCCGCAATAGTGGCTATAAAAAATGGCCTCAACATCTGCCTCGGAAAAACCCTCAGTTTCTAATGTGGAAGAAAACAGAAGTCGCCTGTGCAGTGAGTTTGCGGGCATAACAGGAGCTGATAGCGCGGTGGCTCAGTGCTACCTGGCGGAAAATGAGTGGGAGATGGAGGTACAGTAACTATAACAACTTGCTACATCAGCCTGCTGTGGTTCTGCTAGATACAGACAGATGCTACAGCTGGTGGCAACATTTGAGTTTAAATTTAACCTCAGTGCAGTTTATTTGACTGTGTAGGTAATTTTCTAAGGCTAGGTAATGCTAACCAATGTTTCTACATTATAATGCGTTGCATGGTATGAACATGTGAAATGGAAATGTCTTAACTGTTGTCTTACAGAAAGCTATGAACTCATTCTTTGAGGCTGATTTGGAGAAAGTATTTGAAGAAGATATGTCAGACAGTGAGAGCAGCTCCAAAAGAAAGAGACAGAAAATTGAGGAAAAACCTCCAGTAGAATGGTTAGTCTCCTGTCTTCTCTACTTTGTCACTGTTCGTGTAGCACGACGCTGAAGTTAGCTTCCGATTCAAAGCTTCCGATTCGGCAGTTAAGGGGAAAATTCAGGGACATTTAATTTACAGCGCTGAGCGAACAATCCTCCGTGTTTGTACTTCTTAAATAGCTGCATAGCCGATTTATTTGGACTAGATTATCCCAGAGAGTCTAAACATTCTTTATAACACAGTTTTAGATTTGTAAAACCTTTATTCTATATGTGAACATACAAAAAAGGGAGATTTCGCATCTTGACCACATTAGACCAGGTCCTGATCTAAAACCACTAGACTCATCAAATCTGGACTGGATTATCCCAGAGAGGCTCAACATTCTTTATAACACAGTTTTAGATTTGTGAAACCATAATTCTATTTGTGAAAATGCAACTGAGGGAAATTTGATTTTTCAACATTTGTATTGAGAAAGTCACCGCAGAAGTCCATGTCTCTCCATTTTATTTCTCGTCTGCATTATCATGTCTTCTTTTTCACTTTGAAACAACAATTTCAAAAGAAAACGACTGTTTTTCTTTTACTTTTCCTCAAACTGGCCACACTCGATCTCTCCTAGTGCTTCTGCCAGTTGCATACCTCCGACTTTATCCAGAGTTGTTATTGTGGCCTGTGTTAAAATAACCATAATTCAGCCATTAGTGTGCTTGTTCTTCATTTGAGCTATATACTAAGACATTTTCATAAAAAGCTTTCTGTCAATTCTTTGTCTCATTTATCAACATATAAATCATTTTCATTTATCTGCCACTAACACCTGCAATAATTTCAGACCCTGCTCTTCCTCTCCTTCCCACCATTTGCCCTCATCGTGTTCCTACCTTTGCAGTCCCCTGACCTCCCAAACGCCTGCAGACATGATCCTCATTACCCCATTATCCATAGAGTTTATACTGTAGACCTGCACAGCAGCCCAGTCAGGAGCAACTCAGGAGATTTCGCTGCTTTTTTCGCATCTTTTCGCATCTACAGTATAAACTCAGTTTCAACAGTTTCAACTGCATTACTGCACTCTTGAAATTGTTGTTTCAAAGTGAAAAAGAAGACATGATAATGCAGACGAGAAATGAAATGGAAGGACATGGACTTATGCGGTGACTTTCTCAATACAAATGTTGAAAAATCTAATTTCCCTCAGTTGCATTTTCACAAATAGAATTAAGGTTTCACAAATCTAAAACTGTGTTATAAAGAATGTTTAGACTCTCTGGGATAATCTAGTCTAGATTTGATGAGTCTAGGTATAGTGGTTTTAGATCAGGACTGGTCTAATGTGGTCTAGATGCGAAAAAAGCACTGAAATCTCCCTTTTTTGTATTTCCACAAATAGAATAAAGGTTTCACAAATCTAAAACTGTGTTATAAAGAATGTTTAGTCTCTCTGGGATAATCTAGTCCAGATTTGATGAGTCTAGGTATAGTGGTTTTAGATTAGGACCTGGTCTAATGTGGTCTAATGTGGTCTAAATGCGAAAAAAGCAGCGAAATCTCCCTTTTTTGTATTTTCACATATAGGACAAAGGTTTCACAAATCTAAAACGGTGTTATAAAGAATGTTTAGACCCTCTGGGATAATCTAGTCCAGATTTGATGTGTAGGCAGGGCCGGCCCTAGGCACTGGCGAACTAGGCGGTCGCCTAGGGCGCCAGATCTCCAGTAGGGCCTGGCTCATTTCGTGGCATCTGCAGGCAGTGGCAAGTACTTCCGGCATCTGCCACAGAGGCCGCTACTCCGTGGTATCTGTGGCAAGTACTTCCGGCATATGCCACAGATGCCACAACATGCCACAACTTGCCACAGATGCCACAACTTGCCACAGATGCCACAACTTGCCGAGGCATCTGCCGCTGCTGAACGGGAGTTGCCACAAGATGCCAGAGTAAGAGAAGGTTTACGGTAGCTGCCACTCGCCTTCCGTGGCAAATGCTGCTGTTTAAACCCGTATTTATCGTGTAAAATGTCGCTGTTTAGGCATGACTTTATCGAACTGATCTGTACACAGGACTGATGTGCGATCTCTATTTTTCAAAAAGATTCAACATTATAATTTCTATTAGATTTTACTTGGAGAATGTGGTTTGTTAAAATAAATAAACGTGCTATTTTTATGATAATACTCAAGATATATTATAAGTGAATAAAGACAATTTATTGACATTAAGATCTATCATTGTTGACCAGAGGTGGGAAATAGGCTAACTAAGTATATATACTCAAGTACTGTACACTGTAGACCTCTGTGTCGCCTGTCAGCGCAGCTTACATGATGCCGTTTAAAATATAATATAAATATAATAATATAGGGCGGTGTCGGCCGTCAGCGAACCGATCCGGCCTTTCTGCGCGACTGTCACTCAAATGCGGGACATAGTCTTAATTTCGTGGTACTCGGGACAAATAATAAAGATGCTGTGTGTGCAGTGACAGTTCCGCACACAGCGGGACATCTGTTCACCCTACACACAAACACACACACGGTGCTGCCCCTCACACACACACGCTTCAAATCAAGTTGCATAAATGCTTGAGCTACGTTTTTATTACAACTACTGTGAAATCTGCCTATTATGTTTTCGTAATTATTACAACAAATACATACTTGCAACTGAGGCAATGATTTTATATTTATTAGACTATTAAAAAAATGCATGCTTCAAATAAGTGGGGGTACGGCGTACCCCCGCGTCCAACGCCCACTACACCACTGGTCATGCCTAAACAGTGACATTTTACACGATAAATACGGGTTTAAATAGCAGCATTTGCCACGGAAGGCGAGTGGCAGCTACCGTAAACCTTCTCTTACTCTGGCATCTTGTGGCAACTCCCGTTCAGCAGCGGCAGATGCCTCGGCAAGTTGTGGCATCTTTGGCATATGCCGGAAGTACTTGCCACAGATACCACAGAGTAGTGGCCTCTGTGGCAGATGCCGGAAGTACTTGCCACTGCCTCCAGATCTGGAGGGGCGCTGCGCTGGGAGAAAAAAAAAAATAAGAAAAAAAAATAATAATAATAATTGAATAAAGTAAACACCCTTTGCACCCCGGGCCGGCAACATTTTACATTTGCCCTGTACAATGGGCGCTGTAAGTGATGAAAGTGGGGGATGTTGACTTATCAGGTGCCCGCAGCTCACAGCCAAAGTGCTAGCGAGCCTCCGAGCGAGCAAGAGAGAGAGAGAGAGAGGGCGTGCATGCATCGGTACCGCGGATTGTTGTTGGATTGAGGCTGATAACTACAGCTCTGTGAGGTAAAGGACTCTTGAGTGTTTAGATAGTTCACTTTAGTCTAAGTTATATCAGTGGGTCTCAAACGGTTTGGTCACAATTTATGTAAACAAATATTTCCAAGGCACACCTTTATAATTATTAGTATAAATAACAACAGGTTTGAAATCATTCCAATGTAGGACAGTAAACTAAAATATTGTTTAAAACTGGAGATATTAAAAAATATGCATGAATAAATAAATGTTAACTATTAGTAAAATAAGATATGAATGAACAACAACAATAAAATATGTTACATTTATTTGTTATTGGCTATGGTAGGTTGTTGGTTATGTTCACATACTTATTTGATTATTAAAATGTAAACTGATCTTTTTCATATGGGTGTTTTAGAGTTGTACCCCCTAGATCTAGTCTCTAGTAATTCTGCTCAAAGTGCACCAGATTGAAGCATTTTACTTTAAAATGTTAAAAACAATCTTTTCGGGGGGGCATACCCCCGGACCCCCCTAGAGGATGTGACGTCCACCCCCCAATTAAAACATGTGCATACAATAATTAATACATTTGAAACCTTCTTTATGTATATAACCAACATGTCAATACGTTTCAGTTTTTGTGGTGTATTGGTTTTTTGTAGAGATTTTTCATTTATTCTTTATATATTCTATTGTGTATTGCTTGGGGGGGGGGGGCACCAAATCATAATCTCGCCTAGGGCACCAACATGTCTAGGGCCGGCCCTGAGTAGGTAAAGTGGTTTTAGATCAGGACCTGGTCTGTGGTCTAAATGCGAAAAAAGCAGTGAAATCTCCCTTTTTTGTATGTTCACATATAGAATAAAGGTTTTACAAATCTAACACTGTGTTATAAAGAATGTTTAGACTCTCTGGGATAATCTAGTCCGAATAAATCGGCTATGCAGCGATTTAAGAGTTACAAACACGGAGGATTGTTCGCTCAGCGCTGTAACTTAAATGTCCCTTAACTTTCCCCTTAACTGCCGAATCTGAAGCTCTGAATCGAAAGCTAACTTCAGCGTCGTCTGTCACGAGTCTTTCTGATAGAGCCAGCAAACATTTACAACTCCAGAAGAATTTACAGTGTCTTAAAAATGTCCAGTATAGATTTGACTGGAGAGAGTCCTGTCTCCACACGCAAACCACCAGAAGAAGACGACAACAAACTGTCTCTGATCTCCTGGAACGTGGATGGACTGGATACGGACAACATTGGAGAGCGGGCCAGAGGCCTGTGCTCCTACGTAGTCTTGTACGTTTTTTTGATATATATATGTAGGCTACACTGTTGATCTTGGTTGTCGTAGCATGATATTGTATTTGTCGCTGGTAACCTAAACTTCTTAATTAAAATATGTTGAAATGAAAGGTCAGCTGCAGAGCAGTGCCCTGGATATACATTGTTTAATAGTCAGATAGTGTATGAAAAATTAGCTTTATCTTCATGTAGATACACTCCGGACGTGGTGTTCCTTCAAGAGCTCATTCCACCTTACGTCCTGTATTTGAAGAAACGGGCTGTCAGTTACCTACTCATTGAAGGTATGAGTACTTTTTGAATTGTGCTAGTAGTGACTTGTCCTAGACTTCGTTCCTGGTTTAAACTGGGGCTGCATAATACGTTGTTTTTTAATCGTCAATGTGATATTAACTTGCAATACACTACAATACTGTGCTTGTTTGTATTTTAAAATTCTGTTTTCCACTGATACGCTTTAAAGGTCCCATGTCATGGCCATTTCTACTGATCATAATTCCATTGTTGAGGTATACTAAAATAGATTTATAGAACCTAACGGCTCCACGGATTGGTCCATTTGGGTATGGGCACGCCACTGTACCCAGGAAGAAAACAATGGAAAAAGAGAAATCTCCAACGAGGCGTTCTGGGGCAGCATAGACAGGTCTTTTCTGTGTTAGAGTTTTACTCGCTACAGGGTCTACTTTGAGGGTTTGTGTCTTTGCAGACCGTTTACATGCCTAAAAACCTTCATAACACACAAGGGGACGGGTAATAACCGGAAAAGCATGACATGGGACCTTTAAGCAATACAAAAAGTGCTATGTGAGGTCAGTTTAATTTATTGAAAGAGAATGCTGGTAATAGTTTCCTTTCACTTCCACACACAATTGTATTTGAGCAGTATACTGAAAGCAGCAGAGTAGACTATATATTAGCTTTTTATTGAAATTAATATTGTTATAGTGACATTGAACAATGTTATCCATATTTCCCTCAAATTGTGCTGCCATAGTCTAATGTATTGCTCCTCTTAACCTCTGCGGGTCAGGTGGTGAGGAGGGTTACTTCACTGGGATCATGCTGAAGAAGTCAACAGTCAAATTTGTGGAGAGTGAGATAGTAACTTTCCCCTCTACTCAAATGATGAGGAATCTGCTCGTAGCTCAGGTATGTGCACATATAGTTTTCCAGAAACTCGTTTGCCACCTTGAGCTCACCTTGGCTGATACAAAGTTGGATTTGTCTCTTTGAATTAAGGTGACTTTCAAAGGACAGAAGCTGTGCCTGATGACTTCCCACCTGGAGAGTTGTAAAGCGCAAGCAGGGGAGCGGATGAAACAGCTGCGGGTTGCTCTGCAGAGGATGAGAGAGGCCCCTGACGACGTCACCGTCCTGTTTGGAGGGGACACAAACCTGAGGGACACTGAGGTCAGTCATTTGTCTTTAAATGTCCCATGTCATGGCCATTTCTACTGATCATAATTTCATTGTTGAGGTATACTAAAATAGATTTATATTGTGCAATTTTCCAAACTCACATTGGGTTTCTCATACAGCATCTCTGTATAGTATGTGTATTCACTCTCTGTCCTAAACGGCTTGATGGAGCTCCTGCCCCCCCTCTCTATGAGCCCAGTGGCCGTCTGCGAGACAGCGAGACACAGCGAAACCATCCCGAACACACACACACACACCCGCAGCCTGGCTGGGAGTTTGTGTGTGTGCTCACACACCGACTCACAGCCTCGCCGCGTCTCGCCGTCTCAGGGAGGAGAAATCGGCGGAGCTGCAGCTGAGAAAAGATTGTGTGTGTGTGTGAGGAATTCCGCGGATTGGTCCATTTTGACCAATCCACGGAGGGGTCGTCGTTACGTCACTTGGTTCCCGGAAGAAAAAAATTGAAAAAGAAAATCTCCAACGAGGCGTTCTGGGGCAGCATAGACAGGTATTTTCTGTGTTAGAGTTTTACCCGCTACAGGGTGTACTTTGAGGGTTTGTGACTTTGCAGACCGTTTAAATGCATAAAAACCTTCATAACACACAAGGGGACGGGTAATAACCGGAAAAGCATGACACGGGACCTTTAAATCATGTGTGACTTAAAAACTATGATGTGTGATGGCTGAAATGGTAATCCACTCCCCCTTATTTAGGAAATCCACTCTTTATCAACAAAATCCTTGTTTCTGGGGGAAATATGACCCTTTTTTTATTTTTGTCTTGTTCATTACTTTTGTATAGAATTGGATGGCTTAAAGTCAATTAAATAATTACAAAATGCCAGTTTCAAGGAACCCTTCCTTCCTTGTTGCACTTCTCATCAAATAAAATGTAGAGAATTCATTTTAAATTTCATCTAGATTTTTAACAATTTGTTCCTTTTTTCTTTAAACCCTTTTAAGTATATATGCATTATGAAATGTATCTGTGTTTAACTATTTTCTTTATTTTTTACTGATTGTACTATAATGTCCCAGCCCTCACCTGTGTTAATACATTATTTTTCACATCTTTGTTTATCAATTATCACCACACCTGCCATCACACAGTGTTCCTCTTTAATAATCTTTCCCCTCGACTCCATCCCAGGTTGCCAAGGTGGGTCTCCCCCCACAGGTCAGCGATGTGTGGGAGCGACTGGGAAAGCAGGAGCACTGCCGTTACACATGGGACACCAAAGCCAATAACAACAAGGCTCTTCCTTACGTCAGTCGCTGCCGCTTCGACCGTGTCTACATCCGCCCAGCAACCAAGGAGGGCGTCCCCCGCCTGGCCCCCGACCACATGGCCCTGTTGGGTCTGGAGAAGCTGGACTGTGGACGCTTCACTAGTGATCACTGGGGAATCTACTGTAGCTTCATCGTTGCGTAGAAATGCACACAAAAAAGATCCTGAAACTTGTCCTTTAAAGTTTAATATGAGCTCTTAAATTGAGGCCTTGTCAGTGCTGGCATTAGAAAACAAACATTTCTCTGTGATTGAAGATCTGACCTCCTCTGAATGTTGGTTACCTGTACATTTTATATCCTGATTTAGTCTCTGACAAAGCCTTTTTTTTTTTGTATAATTACTTAATGAATCTGGGAAAATACCAATAAATGTTAAAATATCAAAGTTTGCATCACTGTGTTTATGTAGTTTTGATATTGACCACTAGAGAGCACTGCAGAGTTTAAATGTGGTTCCACGTTAGTGTTAACATAAAAACAAATCAAAATATTTGGAAAGAGATTTCTATTTGAACTTGATGTTAACCACCAAATCATTGTAACTTTAGCTATAGTTCCATAAAACTTGAACTACAAATTACTCACAATTAAATGAAACAAAAATAAATACACTTTTAATGCATTTGCAGCTGATGGTCCTAACCAGTAAGGCTTTATGATTGCTTCCTCATTTTACATTATGAATACATGTGTGGTGGCATGTAAAGTGTCTGCTGTGAAAAAAGCCTATTAGAATGATATGCTGCTCTTTCTAATGATTTAATACCACCCTAATGTACAGATCTACATTATGACCTCTGTTCCACCCCTGACCAGATATATCACGGTCTCTGTCGCCACACTGTCTGTGTCCCTCAGCTGCCTGTAACGCACCCTTCAGATCTCAGAGTGTGTTTTCATGTTTGCACGGCGAGCAGAAAACAGTTTTTACTTCTCGGTCACACAGAGTGAGGATCAGCTGACCTCAGGAGAGGACACAGATGCGACTCTTCCCCGGGAGCAGGCGTCACCAGATCAGGCCTCCCTCCCCCTGATTAGCAAGGACATGTGAGCGACGTCTGTCCAGCTTTAATGACATCTCCTAAAGCCTAAAACATTTAAACTTTAAGAATAATGTTTGTCGTCTTGTGCCTCTGTTGCTAATAGCATTGTGTTTTCGGGTTGTCAGTCTGTCCCATTCTCGGGAACGCCGTCGTATCTCAAATATGGCACAAACGTTCACTGTGAGTGATGAACTCATTAGATTATTGGGGTCAAAGGTTTATGTTGCTGTAACTTCATAAAACACTCAAGAATCCATATGACCTCATATTCAAATCTTATTGCAGTCAAACAAGCTTAGGTAATTTAACATCCTGTGCCACAATGTTAAACCTTCATTTTGCTAAAATAACCATTAATTAAAACAAATCTTGAATTAAAAGATGATGTTTTAAAATCTGTTATTTTGTTCCACTAAAAGTCTAAAGCCCAATGAAATTTAGTTTACATTCACATTCAACAAACAATGTCAGACAATAATTATTTATGAGAAGCTGGTATCAGGAACCTTTTTGGGTATTTCTTACAGTTTTTCTCGATTGCTAACACACATAAAGCACAATTATTTTTAACTGACACTCAAAGAGCAAAACATCAGCTCAAATCTCCAAAACTCTAAACACGTTTTCAGCTTTTCACACAATTTGCAAATCAACATGGCACTTTTTGCAAACCACTGCACACGTTTCTCCACGTACGACACAGGAATCTGACATAAAGTCACGTGTTAGCTGGTTTAAAACACTGATATTCAAAATGCCTCACACATGGACCAATGATCAAGAAACACGTTCCACCTGACCAAACACCTGATAGCATAATTGTTGGCTCATCAATCAGGATGTTAGCACTATAAAAAGACCACAGGTGAGTACTTTCTTACAGCAACAATGGAAGCCAACATGGAAGCAAGAGCAAGAGGAAGAGGAAGAGGAAGAGGAAGAGGAAGAGCTGGGCTGAGAGTGAGAGGAGGAGGAAGATGTGGGTGAGAGTGAGAGGAGGAAGAATGAGAGGTAGAGGTAGAGCTGGAGGGAGAGGACGTGGACAAAGAAGAGTACTCTCTAATGAAATGAAATGTTATCAACCATGGTTTGACGATGAGAGAGGCCGGACAGAGGGTTCAGAGGCTGGACAGAGGGTTCAGAGGCTGGACAGAGGGTTCAGCCTAATCTAAGCCGATGTACTGTCGCCTCTGTAATCCGGACACTTAGACTTGAAAACAGGTTAGCAGTTTTTAGCTCTGCATAATTCATGATATATCAGTGCTTATATCTGTTGTGTGAAACGTATTTACTTTATTACTGTAATTGAATTGTTGGCATGTTGCATACTATAACTGTACAAAAATCCTGCACAATTGACTGTGGTCAACTTGCTTTTATGCAACACAGACACTGACCAACCACTATATCTTTGTTGTTTATCTGAAGGACTGAGAAACAAAGAGGTGCAGGTGGAAGGCTAAGGATTTTCAATGAGGCACAGGTAGCAGCAGTTACAAACTGGGTTTTGGCAAACAATGCCATCACACTTAGAGAGATCCGAAGCATAGTAACTATGTGCTGAGATGCATGTTGCACAATGTTATTTTTGAATAAAATGTGATTTTATTCAACAACTAATTTGTATTTCTTCATTTACTGTATTTCTGTATACTCCAGCCATCTTTCTCTGCAGAAACCTCTATGTACAGAGCATAGCCCATAACAGATGAAAGTGCTTTAGATTATGCTCAGCAGTGTGTAGTTGGGTGGTCAAACAATCTAGTATTATGAATGAAGTGTGTTATATTTGGTAAGTGTTTATGTAGTTTTGAGTGCAGTTCTTCATTTAGCAGGCGAAATGTGGTGTTTTGCACTTTGGTGTGTGGTTTTGTGAATTGTGTTTAGTGTTCTGAGAAACTGAGCAATTAAAAAACAAATGTGTGTTAACAATCGAGAAAGACTGTAATGCATGTGTTTAATGAATAACCCTTCAGTCAGTCATATAATCATTACATCTGAGTTTTAAATCCAGTAAAGTGTTAAACATGTTTTGTTGAATGCCCACCCAGAATACTGTAATGTAATTAATGAACTAATAAATATAGGGTGAGGGTCAGCATGCATGGCCAGAGACAAACGGTATAGAATACAGGATCCTGGTCCTCTAGAGGTGCACTATTTTCTCCTGTTTGTGTACTGAGCAGTTTCCCACTTCAGCAGAGAGGAGTGGAGCAGCAGGTCATTGGTGCTACAGATGGAGGCAACATCTGTCGGGGCCAAGTAACTGGTCATGTGATCCAACGTCCTGCCTTGAGCAGCATCCCTCTGCTGCCAGAGGCCCATCAACATTTCCCTCCTCCAACAAATATATAATCATCCATAAGTTTCCCTCTGGAAAGCTGTATGGATGTATTCCAAGATCATTTCCCTCACTCTGTTTTTATATTTTATAATTTCACTCTGAGCTTTTATTTTCAACAGCCTCACAGATTTATTTTTGGAGCCCTCCTCCAAACACGTAGCCCTCAGTGAGAACTAGGGCTTTCATTTGAGGCCCGTCAAAATGAATGTTCTTGGTTTGTGTGGACGTTTGTGTGTGCTGCCGGAGAGGCTCTGGGACGAGGTTTGTCCTTTGAAGCAGGACTGGATGATGATGGATCGGACACAGATCTGACCCGAGCCCGGAAGAGATCGGCTGGTCTTGTGAAGATCAGCAGAGAAACTGTGCTGCAGCTCCTGGTAAAAAAAAGGGGGGACAGAATGCAAAAAGGGGGGTCTGGTCTGCTGTGTGATTGATGGACCGTGGCTGTGCTCTCTTTGGGTTTTTGTTTTTGATGTATCTGGGGTGTGAGCAGATGGCTGTGGGCAACGTTCCCACTGTATGTGTGTGAGCAGGATCTATCTGGACGGTGTGTGTCAGACTCTGTCCACACACACACACACACACACACACACACACACACACACACACACACACACACACACACACACACACACACACACACACACACACACACACACACACACACACACACACACACACACACACACACACACACACACACACACACACACACACACACACCTCCCCCTGTACAGATAGCTTGTCACAGGCAGGGCATGGCAAGGGCACGCGTAAGTGGTGCTCCACTCTACATCACCACCGCTACATCCATCACTGATTCCCTTCAAAATCGCTGTGACAAACGGCCCCAGCAGCTAGCGTTATTTCAGACCGTACAGTGCTGCTGCTTCTGGTGCATATTTGAGCACTGACAGCTATTCAGATTTTTGCAAGATAAGGGGAAACCTCCTGAGAGAACATTTTGTCTTTCAAAGGGTTGAGGACGAAGTCATACTGAGGGCCACCACTGGAGGTGAATAAGGTATAATGTTACCTGATAGATATCAACCTTCAACCTCCCCAGTTGATTACGTACACAAAGATATACATATCTATAAATAGGTTTCTGAAAATGTGTTTTAATATGCAAAGAGGCAGTACCTTATTAATGATGTACTAATTACCATACATTTCAAGAACAGATATCTGAACATTGGGTCAAGCCAGGTTCAAAAGTTTGTTCCACACAAGACTTTGCTGTTGGTGCTTTTTTTATTTTCTATAACATTTCTTTTTGGCCCATCTGTGGGAATTCTGTGTTGAACAAGAAAATTCATACAAATATTTTGAAATAAAAAGTTTGTTCCATATTTTAAACGAGTCAAAAGAGGAAATGTTGGATATTTATAAATAAATAGTAATAGTAATAAATGTTGCCATGTTTTTATGAATAAAATATTATATAATTAGGGCTATGAATGATGTATGAACAAACCCTTTTTAAACCCATCAGAATAGAGACAGTCATGTTTGTCATATGGTGTTGATGTAGTGTAGATTTCTCTGTGAGGAAAAGACTACATTTTGTTTAATAATTCCAAACAATTTGAAAGAATAAACAGGGTAAAACATGTTAGATTTCATCATGATTGTTGCTATGTTGATAAGTTGCATTAGGACAATATTTCTTTGTATTAGAAGTCCTTAATGTTATTTAAAAAAATAATTGATGGCATTATCTAATGCTTACGTTTGGTTAGAAGAGGGAAAACCTGCAGATAAAAATAAGACAACATTAGTAAAATTAACACGTACATGTGCATTATGGGTGTTTTCTTTCACTAGTCTTAAAGAAGACATGTAAGACTTTCACAATCTCTCAATATAGTGCCTCGAGCGAGGATGTGGGGTGCGGTTATGAGTGGGGAAAGTACGCGATGTAATGGTTGAGATATAAGTAACACATTTCTGTGAAAACATCTGTCAAGAATTCAGAGTTTCCCACTGATATCAGTCACTTCAGGCTGTTAAAGTCCATCTTAAATAACAAGGTTACAGACAAGAGAGGTTGACTCTGTATTACATAAGTCATCCTGAGATGTAAATTATTAAACAGAGGAGTGGACCACATAGAAAACATTAAAGTAATAAAACTGAACCAACATTTTGTAACAAAGTCTGTTTTATTTTCTCTCTCATAAATAACACTGAACAAGCATTGTACAGCGATAAATATCAATATTTATACACTGTAAAATTCTCTGTATTACAAAATACAGTATATGTGTAATGCACTTGATACAGATGGGAAGTATTGCATTTCATAGCACCGAACGAGACCCTAAACGTGACCTTTGAGTTAATGACATCACACTGTACTCCTCTTAACAGTCCAGTTACATCCCAGGTGCAGGTCTGTGTGGGTGTCTATGAAATATACTTCCCTTAGGAATCAGTTGTTGCATAACTATATCTAAGTTAAGTAGAAACCACCTAAGAGGAACGCCTTCACTGCTCATTTTCCCACAATCTCAAGTTTTCAAAAATGTCAATGAACTGTGGCTGATCAAGTTTCATCGATTCGATTTTTGCATTTAACGTGGTATAACGTTGACTTCATTGACTCACATTTTGTTTGGAGGGTGGGGTCACAGCTAGAACTCAAAATAATTTATATGGCGTTAAAAAAAATTAATGGTGACGAGATTTGATAAAATCTTGCAGCCATAAAATGAACTCATCTCTCTTTACCTAACCGTTCATTTCAAGTAATAAACTGGAAAACGTGTCTAAATTGGATTTAGAAGATTTTCATAACGAGAGGTCTGATTTCTGCACATCAATGAGGGATCGGTATGTTTCGGGACTCGAGAGGTTTTCTGTGTCTCTTTCACTCAAGTGGCAGCGCAGAAATATCTGTTTTGAGCTGTACTGTACTGTACCCAATATACAAGCTGTTAATAAACTTTTCAATCAATCAATCAGAGGCAGCGGGAGGCAACAGGCAGGTTGAACACTGAAACAATAACCTGTAATATTTATATTCATCCTTACAGAGGAACATGGCTCGACTAACAACTCAAAAGCAGTTTTTGTTCCCTCATGTTCACGAGTCAGTCTTTAACATCCTTAGTAAACAGCTCTTCTCAACACTTGGCAACAGATCTCATGATTTCTATCATATTGTTTTTGCTTTCAAACATTATTGCTAAATTCAGACAGCAAGGGGCCCTTTCAATCAACACTTAGCATGGCAATAACTCTACAGCTTTGAAGAGGACTGACAGCATGGAATGTGTAGGGCGAACATTACATCTGGCTTTGAAGAAAGAAAAACAAACTTTAGTACAAAAAATGAAAAACTAAAAGGTGTGCCAGCATTACAAATACACAGAGATGAAGATTTCATATAGGAGCCCTTATTATTCCTCAACCAGACTTTGTCTGAGGAGCAGCATCACAATAATTCATGTAAAAATAAAAAACATTATCACATTCATCACTTAGTGTCCGTGTTGTGTTTGATTGTCGGCTTCTGAGACACATCAGCCTCAACTTTTGAGCAACCAAACCCCTTCCAAGTGTAACTCATCTGTATGAAAATAATGTACATCTGTTTGTAGTGGACTGTGCAAGAGAACCTACAGAATGAGAGCTTTGTCGTATTATAAAGAACCGGTCCATAATTAACATTAAGTAATAAAATACGGTCAGTCAGACGTCACATATAGCCTCAGTGTCATGATAAGCTTTACCTAATGATGGCACATACAAAATAACAGCTTCTCTATCTCATCTAGCTTACTCACATAGAATCTAAGTAATACCTTAAATAAACTCAGCTTTGTGTTATGTTGATGCTTTAGAGCATTTCTGATTAGTTTGGTTTCAGCACTGAAATACCACATTCATGCCATTTAATCACCGCTTGTTGATGTATTGCACAGAATTGTCAAAACAACTTAACTTAAACACAAATTATGTAATAATCCTAATGGATAATCTCACAGCCAAAGATGTATAACGAAAAACAAATGTAAAAACCTAATTGAAAATGAATATAAACATTAACAGGAAAGCTTGACATCTCGGTCCGGGCGCAGTGTAGCAGAACGTGTGTCTGTGCTACCGAGGAGCTGATGATCACTTCAACCTTCCTGGCAGAAACATTCCTGAGTTTCGTGCTGTGAAATCTGCTCTGCTCCCCAGCTGCTCTTATCAAAAAACTGCAGAAGCGCCAAAACCATGTCCGGGCAGACAAGGCGGATTCAGCTGATGTGGTAGGAAGCCAGCAGAAATCACACAGTAGTTCTCGCTGAGAGCTCTCCCCTCTCTCCATAGTCCAAAAATAAGACACTTAAAAAAGGAACTGGACTAAAAAGTCAAATTTTCTTTTACAAAAGTAATAAGGCCCTTATTATTTGTACCGTGAATTAGCACTGGATGTAGATCATAAATAGCTTGAGTCAAATAAAAATGGATGAAGTGAAAGGTGCATAGGTTGGCATTTCTTTGACACTGAAATGGAAATTCCTTCCAGAAAGCTCCAGATTGCACATTCATGGTGTTAGCAGGCAGTTAATGCCTAGTTATTGTTTGTACGGACTCACTCATTTAGCCACCTCTTAAATCTCTAAATATCATCATTTCATTGACAACTCCTGTAACAAAGTAAACTAAGTTAATAGGTTGAGAAGTGTCTTAAAAAAAAGAAAAAAAACATCCAACAAGATGTGTAGCATCTTCCATCAGCACCGTTTCTTAAAGGGTGCGTGATCCACACATCTAAAACATCGTACCGACTAAGGATGCACGCGGTCAGGGTTTTTCTCCGTAGTGTTGCCAGAACAAGATTTTGGAAATTATAAACCCCCCGAAAACATTTCAGACACCGTCTAAACATAGAGGGGGCTCTGAAGTCTTACAATTCAGCGACTGAGTGGTAGGTCACACCACGTTGATGCAGTTTCCGCTGCCGGCCGCCGCTCTCTTGCTGCAGTAGGTGAAGCCGCTGTGATTGGTGGACGAGCCGTTCATGTGCGACGATTTCAGCTCCATCTGGCAGGCGGCGATGGCGGCGTTGAGCTCTACCTGTGCCCGGTGCACCACGTAGAACATCAGGCCGATGCTGATGACGATCTGCAGAGGAAACACGGAGGAAAGTCAGGGCGTTTGGTTTGACACACACATAACATCTGTACATGACAATACATCAGACTCATTAGCTGTGTCTCGAGCTCCATTTTCACAAAAATTGCAGACGAAAGTTGAAATGGTGTCATAAAGTAATGCAGTTGTTTTCCATGAACTGGTTTGGAGCAAATGATTGGTTAACAGGGTAGTTTCTTTCATGTATGCTAGTGATGCTAGTAAAGCCAACGCATGGCTGTAATCCACCAGTTAACGGGTAAAGCAAAAAGTAGACGTTTAAACAAAAGTCCTTGATTTTTAAGACATGTATGAGGTCTCTGGGAATTTGTTTCAATTGGATAAGTTACATTTTTGTATTCATGTCAGCAGGTTTGTTTCATGCTTTCTCAAACAACTGATACAAAATGTCTGCGCAGTAGAGAAAGTGATATGGAGTTTTGTCATTTGGGTATAGCTCTTCTTACAAAATACTTCGAAATGCACTTAAAATACGTGAATGAAACAAGGTTTGTGTGATTATTCATTAGACAATTATACCTTTTCTTGACAAGAGTTAGCAATAGTAGACATCTTAACACCGGAGAAACGTAAAGCCTAAGACGGTAAGAACAGAGATAATCTGGTTTCCCACCACCAGTGTTCAAGCTTCCTCCTGATTAAGGCCAGTTGTCGATTAGGAGCAACAGCTTTCAGTTCTGCATGAGAACCTGACGTCGCCTACTTGATGTTAAACTGACCCTTGGCCTTGACCTCTGACCCCTGCTAATGTGTCAAAAGCACCTACCCATAATGCCGTAGCACCGAGGATATAAAGAAGCTCAACAGCTGTTGGAGGCGTGGTGAGAGACTCAAATGATCTTTGACTGAGCTGAACAGAAGTGGGGGCATTTTTAGCATTACTACACAAGGCTTGGAATTAGCACTCTAGACGGTTATGTAACTGAAGACTTAGGGGAGGGGAAAATGTCGAGGCTCGTTTGTCCTAGGATACGGTTTGACAGGCTCAGTAAGATGTCTGTTTTAAATACAAGGAAGGGGGAAAAAAGCACCAAGCAAACATGTGCCTAAATGATGTGGGTCAAACCAGGACGTGTTTAAAAAAAGTGTTGAAAAAAGATTCCAAATAAAAAAGATTAAAGCAAATGGTGGCCGTGGAGACGCTCATAAAAAAGGTACTCTTTCAGGTTTACTGTGCTTATTCCTCTTATGAAGGGCTCATTGCATGGGTAGAATATGATCTCAAAAACAGGTTAAAAATGTATATCTCCCTCAAAAATGATCCAAAGCACATGGCAGGGGTTTGTTCAAAATCTAAATAACTTTTGTCAATTATACATTTAAATTGATCAACATGGTTTGACTGCTATTGGTTGTAAGGGTGTGTAATGGCGCATTTCCACTACAGCGCGGAGCTTGCTTTAAGCGTGCCGTGCCCGGCCCGTTTTTGGTTGCGTTTCCACTTGGCGTAGTTCCGGCTAGCGGGTACTTTTTCACAGTTTTTCTGGCCCCATAAAATCGAGGTTCTTTCCGGGCCAACAACCAGGCTGAGTCGGGCTGAGTATGCTAAACTAGAGAGAGAATCGCTGGCAAGGGGGCTACAACTACAACAAAATGAACATATTTGACCGTGATTTAATTGTAATACACGTTTCAAAATGATGCCGAAGTAACAACATACTGATACCGGTTAGTAAAAACCATGAATTAATGCTTTGGCCAGTCTGCAGACAGACGGCAGGCGAAACACCTTTTAAAATGCGTGTTTTCTAAATGGAGATTGGCTAAGCTAACGACTTATGCTCCGACCGTCCACACTCACAACAACGGCCTATACAGACATAAATAAAGCAGCGACTGTATTCACCATGACACAGGCAGTCTGTGGTGTGTACTTGTTTAACTTTTGTCTAGTTTCTGAACATATATGAGGAGCTGTGAGCTCTGAGTGCTAACAGCTAACGGCTGATGTTGTTTTTCTGTGGTTCTCATTGAAGATGACGTCACGGCTCCGCCTACACTGCGTTACTATAGATACTGCCCCAGTTCCTAAACTGTAATGGAAACGCAGCATAAAGTGAGCCAGTCCTAACGAGGCCCAGCCATACCGAGCGAGGCCCTGTAGTGGAAATGCGCCATAAGACCATGTGTAACAGCAAATCTATTTCAAAAACATCTAACTGGATATGCAAGTTTGGAATATATTACACAAGTTGTTTGAGACTCTGAGAGGCATGTGCGAACGGTAATGTTTGTAAATGTAAAGATAAACAATGTAAAGATAAACAGAGAGAGAGTTTGATAAATGCTTCCTTTGTGACCGGCAGCTGACCTGCAGGCTGAAGACGAAGTACCCGCTGACGCTCTGCTCAGCAATGACGTCCTCCATGGTGCGCAGCGTGGTGCCCAGGTACGAGTTGAGAAGCTGAGTGGGCAACAGACCCACAGAGGAGGCCACCAGGTAATTTGGCAAGGACACGTCTGTGATCTAAAGAAAAGAGGAATATGTTATAAAGACCTTCTGATAAGAGAACAAAGCACAGTGGAACACATCTGCTGTAGTACTACAATGCCATTGTTCAACAGCCCCTATTGTGCTGAATTAAGACTAGGGTTAAGGTCTAATCGTTGTTGTGGTCCTACGCATCCATTGTTAAATCTGTTTATGTTTCAAATAAATGAAATAACACAAGATACAAATATTTAAGAACCTAAACTTATAATTCAAAGAGCAAGGCTAAATACCTCACTCAACATTTCAGTTTGCCAACAAAGGTTCGGACATTTAAAAACTGGAACCAGGTTAAAGACAGGGTCAGTAATACTTTGACATTTGTCACCAACCTGCATACAAAACATTTTTATTATTAGATGTGTACCTATGAAAACTATAACACGGGATGAAATGATTCCAACTATAGTAATAAATATGGCGGCAAATTATTTGATATGTTCCTGAAGACATTGTAACTGTCGTTTTGCTGTGACTTTATAATACGAACATTGATGAACAAGGCACATTTACCACTAGGAAAATAAAGCTCCATCTTATCTTATCTCAATTTAGCTGGGTTAGCTCAAGTGTATCACACATTTGCATGAATTATAACTACTGAACTACTACCATATAACCACCACTCTGGAGTAGAAAGAAATGTGGTTGAAAAATCAAGTCAGATTTAAATTATTTCACTCGCCCTGTAGAATATGTGTAATATCCGATGAGAAATAAAAAAAATGTTTACCACTATAATGTCATTTTGGAGAGTCGCTGCAAAAATTGTAATTTTGAGCCACAAAAATAGTCTTCATGATCCCTGTGCCATCTTGTAAATGTACTTTGAACATATCACACGTGCAGCTCAGTGTCTCATTTCATATTGCAGTACCTCCACCTAGAAATAAACATGGGTCTGCTTTGCCATCACCCTTGATCCCTTGATTAAATGATGACATCAGCAGGTAAGTGAGGATGTGACCTTGGCACTGTGTACTGTGGCTGATGGCGGCGTGTTCCTACAAGACACTGCCTGGTCCAAACTACAACAAGGTACAATTAAGTGTTTCCTCCTTGTGATAAATCCTAAACCCACTCATCCTACACACTGATAAGAGTCTGGCTTACACTTTATAGGAAATGTACGTTATGAAAACCTGGCCAATCCAGACCATATTATCAAGTTTTTATCCTGACTTGGTAGTTGTGCAGTTTTTCCTCCACATAATCATGTAAAAGGCTTTTCCCCTTGAAAGATAAGCAGTGATGTGTCGACACCATTTGTCAACACGTTCAAAATGCCTTCAGCTGATCTCTGAGATATGACATGTGAGCCTGTGAGAGCAGGAGAAGAATGCACTCTCTTTCTCTGAGCTATCATCCCTGAGTTGTAAAGCACATGTCCTCTGAAGTCTCTTCCCACCGGGGCATGTAGCGTATGCAGCTGTCTTATACGACCAGGGAAGGGCTAGTCGGTATTTTTATAACTGCGCAGAGACTTCCCACTGAACCTCCCACTCGCTTCTGCAAGCCCGTGTATCAAGATAAATTGCAAATTCAAGTGAAAAAACACCCCATCCTCGGCTTGACCTGATTTATTCAGAACAGCAATGCAGATCTGAGTTTGTGCTCGTAAACAAAAACAAGAGTAGTGTATCTTGACTGCATAGTAAATGTAGGATTGCTTCTGTAATGCTCTTTTGATTTTTATCTGGACACGCGCAGGGTTTACCCTTTAAAGTGTAGGGTGAGGAACAGTGTGTAAGTACTGGCTGCACAAGCATGTCTGCCCTGTAGTTAGGGTCCTGTAAATCACACGAGGAAATTGCTAATTCATCAGTTCATGAGCTCTTTATGACAACAGGATGGACCCAGGCCAGCGAGCAGGGATTTCATGTAATAAAATGCACACGCCGACTTGAATATGCCCGCTTTGTGCACAAAGGATTCTCAAACATTTTTCCTTAGCCGTCCCAATGTTTTGCTAACTACTGCATTCTTGGTGTCGTTTTAGGTTACCCGCTATAATGTAGCACCGTCCACTTCAGCAGAAAGAGGCAGCGGGCACGGTGAAATGCAGCCTCATCCAAAGAAAATGCTTACCAAGGGCAGAGCAGACAACACATAACTCCACTGTGGGGTCCATAAAGTACCTCACCACGGGCAGCTTGACCTTTTATTGTGGAGAATAAGATAATAAAGATTAATTATCAGCTAGGCTTCATAATGAACGACAAGGTATGATGAATTGCAAGGTATACAGTTAGGAGAGCTGGGTTTGAACTCCCTGAAGGCAGGAGGGCAAAAGGAAGAGAGGAGGCAGCAGACTATGGGACTCAGCTCATTAGCCTGCTCCTCTGCTCCTGGCAGCAGCAGCTCAACCCCCAGGTGAGATGCTCTGCTCCGACCTTCAGAGTTCAACTATGAGGTTCGTGCGAGGAGTTGACAACTTCATTTTTTTCTCCAGTCCCACCAACCTTGAATGAAGGTTTACTTCTAATAATGATAACATTTACTCTTGTTTTAGCTCCTGTTTAAGTCTCTACCGACTCCTGAGACTTATAAACGATAAATGATATAGACAATGAGAGCGGTGAGAGTACATAGTTGTTGTCTGGACAGCTAAACAATGGGCTGAAACTTGGTTTGGAAACTAGATTAATCACGTTGCCCGTTGATACATGGAAATCAAGACATTATATGTGATTTTAAAGCAATATTAGCCATCCAAATCAACTCGCAAGAGGCCAAATATTTTCCCAAAATGTGGGATTAATATTAAAAAAAATTTAAATAAAATAATTTGATACAATGGCCAAGTTTTTATTGCACTATTATAGGTCATTCTAAAGCAGGGGTGTCAAACTCAAGGCCCGGGGGCCAAATCCGGCCCTTGACTTCATTTGATGCGGCCCCACAAAGAATATTGTATGTTTATTATACGGGTACATGCCGATTTACAGAAGCACGTTGCCCATAAACTACATGTCCCACAATGCATCTCAAATATGCCATTTTCTCAGAATTTGCCTTTTTTTCAAAATGTTACTTTTTTTCCCCAAAATAATTTCACTTCTTTTTTTTGATTTTGACTTTCGATTTTTCCAGAATTTGGCTTTTCTTTTTAAATCATTTTGTGACGTGCGCACTGAAGAGACTTGCAGTTATTTATGGGCTCAGAACAGTCTCATAATACACACATGCACACAGAAGGATTCACACTTGTATTTACGGATCCACACACAAATGTGTTCCGTTTCATATACATGTAAATAAAATCCAAATACAGAAAAAAGTTTTACATATGTATTTTTGATCCTCACATATTTGTTTTCCGTTTAAAACCGCTGTACCTGCAAACACAAACCGCTTTCTGTGCATGGATCGCTGTGCATTCGTGTGTGGGTTTTTTGAGACTCCCCTGACGGTCACCCGATTCGTACTTGTAATTTTTTCTATCTATAGCCAATCAGATGTCTCCTCAATTCTAAGCCAATCACATGAGCGCGCCCCCACGAGGGTATGATTTCTTGCGTTCATGACGTATCGCTTAATGTACGCATTTTGCGCTGTCCGGAGCTGACAGGTCCATGGAGCCTGCCTACAGGCGCTAATCTCAGGACACCTCCACTCTCAGTACATCGCCACTTTCCGAACAGGAAATGCACGCAAATACAAGCTTTTATATTATTAAAGGTACAGCGCCACTTTCCGTGGGTGCTAGACAGTGAACTGTCAACGGTCTTGTATTTTAGTTACACCCGCTATTGATTCATTTTGTCAACGTCCACATAGCTATAGTGAAATAATATAATTGAAAACATTAAGCCTCTTTGATTTAATAATCGGAGCTGAAACCTCTCTGCCATCTCATATAACACACACTTCCTTATTTATCTTTGAATAATAATACCGTAAAAATAAAGACGACTATACTACGGTCCTTCGGTCCTGAGATTAGCGCCTGCAGGCTCCATGGACCTGTCATCTCCGGACAGCGCAAAATGCGTATATGAAGTGCTACGTCATGAACGCAAGAAATCATACCCTCCTGGGGGCGCGCTCATGTGATTGGCTTAGAATGAAGGAGACATCTGATTGGCTATAGATAGAAAAAATTACAAGTACGAATCGGGTGACCGTCAGGGGAGTCTCAAAAAACCCACACACGAATGCACAGCGATCCATGCAGAGAAAGCGGTTTGTGTTTGTAGGTGCAGCGGTTTTAAACGGAAAACAAATATGTGAGGATCAAAAATACATATGTAAAACTTTTTTCTGTATTTGGATTTTATTTACATGTATATGAAAGGGAGTGTGTGTGCTAGGGCTGTGCGATTATGGCAAAAATCATAATCACGATTATTTGGGTCAATAATTGATATCACGATTATTAAATACGATTATTCATTGACTTTGAAAACATCCATTTATTGAACTTTAAAACAAATACAAATAATAATTTGAACAGTATCTTTTTAACTGTTGATTACCCTGAACGTATAATTCAACTGAAAAACCAATACAAAAATAAATAAAATAAATGATACATTTAAATAAATAATATCAAAATAATAAATACCAATAAACAAGATCAACATATATTTTGGAGCGCACTTCCCCAAGCTACTAAACATATATAAATATGATAAATACAAATAAATGAGACCAAAATTAATGAGATCAAATATGTTGCAGTGCACTGTCACAACCTAGCAAAGCTAAATAATTGTTTTTTTCGATTATGTTGTTTTCGTAATTGTGGCAGGCCAAAATCGTAATTGCGATTAAAATACGATTAATTGCACAGCCCTAGTGTGTGCATTGAAAAACACAAGTGTGGATCCGGAAATACAAGTGTGAATCCTTTTGCGGATCATGAAATACAAGTTTGAATCCTTCTGTGTGCATGTGTGTATTATGAGACTGTTCTGAGCCCATAGTTATTTGCCCTAGACTTCTGCTTTCAGACGTAGTTAATTATGAAGTTA